TATTTCTCCCTTGCCCAGGCCAAATATGCCTGCCCAGTGTCTCTGAGGAGGGTCCTTTCAGGTACATGGTACCCACCCTCGCCCCAGGAGAGCATTGCACTAGCACGGACATCCCTGAAGACACACTCTCAGAGTCCATAGGAATGAGGCACTTATGTTGGGTGCATTGGGTACTGCTTCAGAAGAGTGGGGAGAAACTGGTGATCTAGGGGTCTTTGTTAATGATTCTTTGCCATTATATGCCACCTGGATCATAGCCAGGTGGCCTTGCTCTATACTGCTCATTCTGTAGCCCAGCTTTGAATTTGGGATTATTCTCGTCCAGGACCTTTATACCCATGACTGCAGCTGGCCATCTGTCTTTGACTGGATACTGTTTCTGGGGCCACGGGATCTATTCCAGGCATAGAGTCATAAGGGGGCTTTGACCTTTGTCAGAGATTGTAGCAGGGATGGGGATGATGAGAATGGAGATGGGGTTGGGCTTGGAGGAGGGATGGGATGGAGACAGATATGAGGATTGAGTTGGGAATGGGGATAGAGATGGAGTAGATTTAGGGATGGGGAAGGGAATAGAAGTGGGAATAAGAATGGAAAAGAGAATGGGGATGGAGGTGGAGAAGAAAAAAGATGGATGGAAATGGGGATGGGGATGGAGGTGGGGATGGAGATGGGGATGGAGTTGGAGAAGGAAAAGGATGGAGATGGGGATGGAGGTGGGGATACAGGTGAGAATGGGACTGGAAAAGGAGGGAGAGATGGAGGTAGAGAAGATGGGCACGGGAAAGACTGAGAGTAAGGGAAGGTGCTAGACCACGAGCCTAAGAAGCAGCAGTTTGTGGGGGAAAGAGTGCTGTACGTAGTCAACGGAAGGGAAGAGAGGAGGAAGGGGGAGAAGATGACGTGTGGAGTGAAGCATCCCGAGGCAGCCAAGGACTCCCGGTGTAGACAGCTCCCTGACCACCCGCACTCAGAGCCCTCCGGCGGGCAACAGGAGGCGAGATGCAGAGTGAAATTTTCCTAGGACACAGCAACTGAGGAATACGTTGATGCAGAGTGTGGGAAGCCTGGGCTGTCCACGCTGATATTAGCAGCTCTGCCGTGTCATGCTCCATACAACTGAAATCCGTTATTGTCTTATGAGCTTGATTAACTGTACATATTGCTAACACCTGCTCAGAAGTATAACGAGGGACAAGAACACAGTTCCCAATCAGGGTCTGTGTGGGTGGTGTGCGTGACTTGGGTGCAGATCTCCAGAACGGGGATGTGTGTGTGTGTGCATGTGCGTGTGTGTGTGTGTGTTGGGGAGAGCACTTGTGCTGTACAAAGAAGCCTGGTCAGGATTTGGAAGGCCTGGGTGCCAGTCCAGGCACTGCCACTGACTGACGGTGTGACCGTAGGCAAATCTCTCCCTCTCTCTGACCTCAGTTTGCTTACCTGTAAAATGGAAGGTCTAGACTGGCCCTCTCCAATAGAAATACATACATACATATATATATATATATATATATATATATATTTAATTGTAAGTTTTCTAAAGACTACATTAAGAAAAGGCTTTAAAAAGTTAAAATGAACTGGAATAATATATTTGTTAAATCCAATGTATCCCATGTATTATTTCAGTAAGTAACCAATATAAAAATATTCATGATATACTTTACACACTTTTAAAAAATTATCTTCCAGATTCAATGTGTATTTTACACTTACAGCACATATGAACTTGAAAAAGCCACATTTCAAATGCTTAAGAGCCACAGAGGGTGGGCAGCTACTGTATTAGACAGTGCAGGTCCAGAGCATTTCTGGTCTCCTCGCTAAACCGTGAATGCCCCAAAGGCAAAGACAATGATTTATTTTCCCAGAAAGTAGCAAGGAGCCTCAAAGAAAGAATGTTAATAAATTCTGCTGATAAATGCATCTGACATGCACTTTCAAAACACTTTCAGGTACTTCTTTATTGAATCCTCACAGGTACTCTATAATTCCACTTTGCAGATAAGGAAACTGAGGTACAGAGTGGCTAAATAACTTGCCCAAGGTCACATAGCTGGTAAATGGTACCGCTTGGTCTTTAAACCCTGGGTAGTGTGATTTAGAGCCCATACTCTTAACCATTGTCCTATCTCTTTTATAATAGTGAGACAAATAATACTAATTAAAATTGCTAAACTGTATTGCAGGCTATGTGCTAGGCATCCTGTAAGCGTCATCTCATTTATTCCTCAAAGCAATCCTATAAGGAAGGTTCTAGGTGTCTAATTCCTGTTTGCTCAATGAAAGTAAGAAAGAAGGAATGAGGGATTTTAAAGGTGCCCCCTGACTAGCCCTGAGCCTCTAGTACAAGGGTCCCCAACCCCCAGGCTGTGGACTGGTACTGGTCCGCTGCCTGTTAAGACCTGGGCCGCACAGCAGGAGGTGAGCGGTGGGCAAGGGAGCGAAGCTTCATCTGTATTTACAGCTTCTCCCCATCGCTCGCATTACCGCTTGAACCATCCCCCCACCCCGTCCGAGGAAAAATTGGCTTCCACAAAACTGGTCCCTACTGCCAAAATGGTTGGGGACCGCTGCCTAGGATTCTTGGAGGGTATACTTATCCCTACCCATAAGCCACCATGAGCAGTGACAGAGAATTATTCTAAGCTCTAATTGGCATGGTCCCTTGATCTTTGGGGCAGCCGAGTTAAGTAGAGCCACCCACGGGAAGAGTTCCTCCAAGGATCTGGATTAAAGGTATCCATGAGAGTTGAGATGTGTCAGGTAAATGAGCATCCCCAGCAGCTAAAATGTGCACTTAGGGCTAAAGGTGCCGATAGGGACGAACTTCTTTCTTCTTTCCAAAGATATGTCAGTGTTCCAGCTTAGGGTCAGTGTTTGAGCCCTGAAGCCAGGGTGCTGGGGTTCAAATCCAAACTCTGTGAACCCCAGAAAGCCACTTCACCTCTTAAGTTTCCCCGTCTGTAAAATGGGAATAAATAAACCCATGTAGACACGTGGTGAGGATTAAATGAATTAACCCACGTTAAGGGCTTAGAACAGCTCCTGGCTCCTAACTGTTGGTCACTGTTGGTTCTTGCCGTGGGATCCAGGCTTTCAGTGAGTTCTAGAAAACTTAGATTGCAGACTGTGACTTGTGGATAATTGAAGTGTTCTGGTGTGTTTTTCCCCTCTAGGAATTCCTTACCCCACTTCCCATCTGTTTCCTACCACCTCACACTTAATTACAGTTCTCCATCTATTGTTCTCCCATTGTTTCCCATTCGTTCCTCTTCCCTTGCGACAGCACATGGCGGCTGCCTGAGTGAATGAATGGTTCATACCTGGCTTCGTTTCACTAGACCTTAAAATAGAGTTGCCAGGCGTCTGTCGCCCCCGCCAGACTGTGAGCTTCTCGATGCGCTGTATCCGTTTCATCCCTGGGCGCCTGTGGTGAGCACCTGGCACCATGCCCGCACCTAGTAGGTGTCAGGAAACGTTGGTCGGATTTAATTAAACTTAACTGGAGTGAAAACCCCTTGCAGGAAGGAAAGGCCCACCCCTCTTCATTTTCTCTGTGTCCCCCACTGCACTTGACCTAAGGCTACAAGAAGCCAGAACTGACAGCCTTTCCTAAGCAAAGTTGTAAGGTTCTGGCTCCTGTCCTGCTGATGACAAGGAAGTTGCGGAAATAATCTCAAGAATCATAAGACTAGTGAATTCCTAGCACGCGCTAAGCCCTTTCATATCGATTAGCTGGTTCATCCTTCAAATGTGTCTGCCAAGGATTAATCCCACTTAGCAAATCGGGAAACTGAGGTTCACAGTTTTGGTAACTTGCCCAAGGACATGGAGGTGGTGGTGACTTCCCTGGGACTTGGACCCAGGAGTGCCCGATGGCTCCACATTTGACCTCTCAATAACCCACGGTGCCTGGGAACACCTGCTTTGGCAAACCAGCCAGTAGTGGGCGGTGAGGAGAGCAGAAAGGGAAGCTGGTGGGAAGCGGGACCAATCAAAATAAGCCAACTTTGGGGGGAAAATAAAAAGAAAGAGGGAAGACTCTTGGCTCTAAATATCTCTCAAAGTCATCTGCTTCTCCCGCTCTGCCCTCACCATGGTCTAAGCGACCCATCTCGCTGGCTTAAACGGCACTCTGTGTTTCCAGTCTCTTCAAAATGCAGCTCAGATCATATCTCTGCTGTTGCTTGAAGCCTTCTTCCTCCTGCTCTCAGGACAAAGAAGAAAAACTCACAGCCAGCGGTGGGCTGGCAAACCTGCTCTCTGGGGGCCTGGGGTGGGGACGGGGGAAGGAAACAAACAAGAAAGCCCTGATTTGCAGTGGTGGCTGATTTCCATGGCGTAAAGATGCCCACCGTGGCCTGTTTCGATCTAGCAGCAGTTTAAGAACTGGTTCACAAAATTCCCAGCAATGTCACAATCGGCTCTCAGGAGCTGGTAGGAACCAGCCACAGCACATCACTGCAAGCGGTGACCCACCAGCAGTGCCCTGCACATCTCCCCAGCCCCAGCAGGCACCACGTCCCCCCTCCTTGCCCTCCCACCACACAGCCTGCCTTCCATCCCCCCTGCCCTGAGCCAACTGTCATGAGGCCTTTGCACATGCTGTTCCCTCCACCTGCCACACTTGTCCCCTGCCTACTCTTGCGTCCTCAGGCACAGCACGGGGTCGCTTCCTCAGGCTTGAGCGGGTCCCTTTACATCCTGTTATACCTCCTGGTATCTGATGCCCTTAGCACAGTTGACCGTGTGATCACTTGATTCATGGTTGTCTTCCCCACCAGGCTGTAAGCCCCGTGAGGCAGGGCCTTCTCTGTATGCCCAGTAGGGACATCCTTCTTACTGTCGTTGCTGCCAGTGGCACCCCCTGGAATTGTGCAATATTTGTCCCCCACCCCAATGCCCAGTGTGGGACCTGGCCCATCCTAGGTAATCAGTGAACTCTTCCCGAACCTTCCAGTTAAGCGTTGGTCTTCCTGTGCTTCTCTTTTGAGTAGCTCCTCCCACCTCCATTGAGGTGGTGGCCGCTGACACACCAGCACCCTTCAGCCGCTACCAAGCCCAGAACTTCACGCTGGTCTGCATCGTGTCGGGAGGGAAACCAGCGCCCACGGTGAGTACCTCTGGAGTCGTCCCTCCTCGTCCCTGCCAGGCCCCCCTCCTTCGTGGCTCGTCCAGCTGCCCCTGTCACCACAGCGCTCACTCTGCAGAACGAAGGATAGAGGCCACAGCTTGCATAAATTAACTCTGCCCCGTCTGCCTTGGTTTGACCCTGTCCACTCATCTGACCTACCCAGGCGTCCATATGCCTCTCTTGCTCCCAGCACCCTGGTGCTGAGAACCCCCGCTTCTCCTGGACCCTGAAATCCTTGAACTGCACAGTGAGGGTGGTCTTCAGGGGATCCCAGCCTCAAGCACACCCCTACCCCAGTTATTGAACAGGATGGAGACAGATGAGGCCCGGAGAACGCAAGGGATGTAGAGAGAGTCAGCCACTGTGTTCTTGACAGAACTGGGACTCAAGGTCATGTCCTCCAGCTCCAAGTCCACTGGGGACGGTAGGAAGGAGGGAGGAAAAGGGGGAGATGGGAAGCGGGGAGGAGGGGGAAATCCTTGTTTGGGCCAACTCCTTATTAGCCCCGCCCTAAGCGCTTTGAGGCCTGTCAGTGCAGCTCACGAGTTACTGTCATGGCCGCTCTAAGGGGCGGGGAGGGGGTGGTGGGGGTGGTGGGGGGGGTGGGGGGGGGGGTAGGGGGGTGGGGGGGTTGGGGGGAGGGGCTAGGATGGGAGAGCATGTGGGGGCCTGTGTTCTAGCCCCTAACGTCACATGCACCAAATGACCCTGAGCAAGGAGACCTGCCCTCTGCTTCTCAGGTTCTTTGAGGAGGTTTAGGGTGTGGGCAACATTATAGTTTTCCAGCATTTTTAGAAGCAGCAGGACCTGTTTGGTCTGATTCAAATACACGGAAGCCCCATGTTGAAAACATTTAAAAGTGAAGGAAGGGCAAGTTGCCCTAATGGGTCCCTGAGGCACCTCTGTGGAACCCTGAGAGTTCCCTGAACCATACTGAGAACCTATGGGCTACGTGCTCCCAAGGCCAATTTTGACCTTATATGATACTTTGAGTCTTGACCTTGTGAGTTTCACACATCACTAGGGGTGGGGCTGGAGCCTTGGAGAGGGGGATTAGAGTTCAAGGTGGGGAGGCAGGGGCTCTCCTCCTTCCAGACCCTTGACTGTCTCACAGGCAGGGTCCAGTGGGGTGACCTTGGGACCGGGCCAGCCCCACCCCAGGACCAGCTGTCCAGGACAGGACAGGAGTGGAGAGAACCAAGACAGGGCAGTAAGCAGGTGCTCAGAGGCACAGGGGGCAGTAGGCGGGGGTGCAGAGATGAGCCTTTGATGAGGCCCATCTCCCTCCACCTGCACCTTACAGTCCTGAGGACACAGACGAAAAAGCAGCTTCAGAGCCAGCAACTGGCGAGAGAAGAGCGTGGTCCCAAGATTTCCCTTTGGAGCCCATAAAGACGTCTGCCCTCTCGAAAATGAGACAAGCTCGTCTTTTTCCCCAAAGAAAAACTCCTTTTCTGCAGGGCACAGAGAAAGTCTCCTCACCGCCCTGGGGCTGCAGGAAGACCCCCTCCTCCCCGAGCTGGCCATCTCCTGCCATTTAAGACACAGCAGTACAATATTCAAATATATATATGTAATATATATATATATATATATATATATATATATATATATATATACCTGAAAGGTCCTCATCTCCCCACATTCCAGGCACCTTACGTTTGCCTGGGATATCAAAACTTGAAAGAATTCTTTGACATAAATTACAAACCTGCTTTTGAAGCACTTTTCAAAAAAAAAGAAAGAAAGAAAGAAAAACCCCAAAGCAGGCTATTATGTGCATAAGAGATTCTTCGTTGGAGCTGTAAACTCTGACAGACTCTGCGCACCCCACGTTTCATTCGCCCCCCCAACCTGGTCCTCCCCCGCGTCCTCCGGCTCCCTTTCCCCACTGGCACCAGCGTCCCCAGAGCTGCTTCCTGTCCTCCTCTCACCCTGTCTCCCATCGATTTATTTAAAAAAAAATACACCCAATCCCCACAGGCCCCTGGCATATGTACCAAAATAAAAAGACAGCAAGTTAAATGAAATGCCGCCTCTCAAAACTCCAATTCTCTGTTGGCGGAGGAAGTGAGAATATGCGGCCTATTGCCTCATTCCGCACCTAGCGCCTTCCCACACGCACACCTGTTTCCTGTCTTCCTCTCCAAAACCTCTAGGATGTGCGCACACACACACAGATCCTTTCCTTCTCCTTCTGACATCTCACTTAATCTCTGGCGCTCTTCCACCTTCGCTCTCACCCACCTGCTCTCCCCAGGTGGGCACGGACCACACCCTTGGAGCCCAGGGGGGCTGCCAGGGCCGTGTCCAGGGTGCTTTTTCCACGCACTGTTTCTAAGCGTCCACCAGCCTCATGAAGTAGGTGTCCTCAGTAAGGAAACTGAGGCTCAAAGAGGCTCACCGGCTCAGCCTCTGCCACCAGAGCCTGCGCGTCCCCATTGAACCGAGCTGACTCAGAGCGCTTGGGGTGCTGGAGGGAGAGAGCGGTCCATCTAGAAGGCTACTAGGAGGAGGAGGCTCCTGAAGGATTGGACTCCTGTGGCCAGTTCCTCCGAGAGCCCACTGGGAGGTCCATGTCATTGGGGCAAAATCTTTTCCCACACCCTCCTTGCAATTTCAGGTTTATTTCAAACGAGATGGGGAACCCATCGACGCAGTGCCCCTGTCAGAGCCGCCGGCTGCTAGCTCTGGCCCCCTCCAGGACAGCAGGCCCTTCCGCGGCCTGCTGCACCGTGACCTGGACGACACCAAGATGCAGAGGTCACTGTCCCTGCTGGACGCTGACAGCCGGGGCGGGCATTCCTACACAGAGCGCCCCTCCCGCAGCCTGACCCTGGATCCCAGCATCCCCCTCCAGCCAACCACCGAGAACATCCCCGAGACGGTGGTGAGCCGCGAGTTCCCCCGCTGGGTCCATAGCTCCGAGCCTGTCTACTTCCTGAGCCACAGCCATACGCCGGGCAGTGACGGCACCGTGGAGGTGCGCGCCCTGCTCACCTGGACGCTCAACCCGCAGATCGACAACGAAGCCCTCTTCAGCTGTGAGGTCACGCACCCGGCACTGTCGATGCCCATGCAGGCAGAGGTCACGCTGGGTGAGGCTCGATGGAAGCCACTCTGCAGGGCCCCTGCAGAGATGGGCGGTGGGGAGCCTTGGAATAGGGTGGGCTGCCGGCCACCACGGAGAAGGGAAGTTGGAGCGAGCCGGGGTCGGGGTTAGGCACGGAGGTCAGAGTCAGGCTATTTGGGAGGTTTGCTGAGCTGTGTTGGAGGACATAGGAAATTACAGGGAGGTCTGGGGAGTTTGGTCCAGCAGGATCAAAGATATGGAAGTCACGGAAGTTTTGCTAGATCAGTGTTAGAAACATGGGAGGTTTTCAAGATTGAAGATGGAACAGGACACTCCCAGGGAAGTTTGCTGGGTGAGTGAAGAAGACACAGGAGTTGGAACTCATAAGGGAGAGTTGCTGAGTCAGGTCAGGAAACGTCCAGGGAAGGATGGGAACATAGGAGGTGACAAAGGGGTTTTCTCGATTGAAATAAGAGACCCATGAGTGCAGGGACAGTTACTAGGTAAAGATCATGAGTGTGGCAGGTCGGAAGCTTGTCGGATTAGGGTCAGGAATACTGAAGGTAGTTTTGCCAGCTTGGGGTAGGGAACGTATAGGATGCGGGAGGATACTGCTCTCGCTTACACTTTTAAGTACAATGGAAACCCTGTCATCTGCAGGGATGTGGAACGTGGGCGCAACCAGGAAACTGGATACCCAGGGATAGCTCAGCCTGAGAATCCAATCCCCATCTGGGGCCTGCTTCCTCTTCCCACAGAGCACCAACTCTGTATGTCCCCAGAGCAGATCCTTGTTTCCCCTTGTACATCTCCTCCCAGCTGAGTAAAGGCAGGGAGACGGGACATGTGGAACCTTCTCTACTAGAAATATGAGGCTCTCAGAGCCAGGATTTGTATTGACTGGGGTGGGGTGGGGCAGGGAGCTGGGCACACTGACCCAGTACTGGCCCTCTTTGCCCACAACCCTCTGGACCTTGGTTTTCGGTACCCAGCAGCTGAAACCACAGCCCAGGATGCCAGAGCTTGTCCCCTGCATCTCCTGCAGTGGTGAAGAGCTGCATGGAAACATCTACAGCCCCTAACCGAGGCCCCTCATGACTGAGGACAGATAGCAATGACTGACGAGGGTTGAGACCCCAGCCTGTGCCTGGGGGTCCAAAGGCCGTCTCTGTTTTTAGCGAGTCCACCAGAAGACCCAGCACCAACTCTGCACCAAACACCAAGAAAAGGATTTCATGTACATATAACACGTACTCTGTGCCAGGAACATATGCAAGGATTCTCTCATTCACTCCTCACAATCAGTTTACCATGCAGTCCCATTTTACAGGTGAGCAAAACTGAGGCTCAATTTGGTGGGGTCCCTTTCTCTGAGTTGCCAACTTATAAGTAGCAGAGCTGGGATTTCCAGCCAGGTCTGTTGGTGCCTTCTCCAATTCCCCTATGCCAACCACTGAACTTACCAGCCCCAGGACTGGGCACCCTTGCTGGCTATGGGGTTAGTTGTCTGAAGTCTGATTAAAATGGCCCTTTGATTCCCACAGGCCACTTGCCCACACAGAAAATAATAATAAGGGCTAACATTTACTGAACACCTACTATATACCATGGACCATTGCTTTTCTCATATGAACACAATTAGTAACCCAGTTACCCAACTGGTAATCCTCATGGTCACTCAATGAGGTCAGCGTTATTAGTATCCCATATCACAGACAAGGCAACTGAGGCGCAGGGAGGTTAAGTAAGTTGCCCAAGGTAAGTGGGGGAGGGTTCAAAGGCAGGCAGCGTGGCCCCAGTGTCTTGCCCTTAGCCTCCACTCACTGTGCTGCCTCAGGGCATCTGTTGTCATGGTGCCTGCCCCCTGAGTACCATTTGCTCATCATGCCATAGAAACTTCACAAGCACCCCTTACAGCCAGGCCCTGTGCCAGGCGCTGGGATTATCCCCACGCAGAGCCTGCCCAGATCCCTTTCTCAGCCTTCCCACCTTGCCAGAACTCCCGCCCCCAGTTTCTCTGGACCCTCCATCCTTCCCAGAGTTCCTTCTTGCATTTGAACCTCCCTGTCCCCAAGATACAGTCTGCTTCCAGGCTGGGAGGCAGAGCAGCCTCGACCCTTCAACGGAATGCCTTGCCCATGAAAGCCGCCCCCAGCCTCTCTTGCCCCAGGCTCGACTTCCCGTGGGAGGGCTCCCTGTCCCACCCCCACAGAGAATGAGAAAGACGAGACCAGACAAGGACTTCCGAGCAGCTGGAAAGGTGAGCTTGCAGTTCACATCTCCCAGTGATGGACGGGGTGCTGCCACTGGCTTGTTCCACCCCCTTCCCACCCCCTATCCCAAGCCATAGTAAAGCACTTGCCTGCCCTGTCCCAGATTCCAGATGGTTCCCTTGACCAGAGCCACCTTGGTGTGCACCCCCAACCTCCATCATCAGAGCAAGAGAAAGGCCCACTCACAGGCAGTGGGCATGACAGATATGTGTGTGCCCACGGGGGACACAGCAGCGCCAAATCGGGTGGGTCAGTGAAGAGACCCCCAGGCTGGCATCCCGTCTTACCCCAGCTGCTGTCAGTTGGTGAGGTCTCAAGCCTCTTAGGTCTCTGAGCCTTGTTCTCTGACCTGTTGAGTGGGGGAGTAATAGTAACCTCATAAATGTTTGGAGCATGTGCTGGCAGCCAGGCTCTATGCAAGATGCTTTTCTCCAAGATCTCCTTGCAGTGACCCTATCAGGCAGCGGAGAGACGCCATCATTATCCCCATTTTATAAGTAAGGGAACCCAAGCTTAGAGCAACTCTCCTCAGGTCACCCAGCCAGGTCTGACCCCAGGGCCCATGCTCCTAACCGCTGAGCTCTACTGCCCATCCGGTGCGGCTGTGGTGAGGACCCATGGAGCCAGTGGGTGTAGCCGGTGGAGAGTGGTGTGAACCAGAGGGGTCCTGAGTGAGTGCTTGCCCTTCACACAGTCAAGGCACCCTGTACTCTGGCCATGGGGGTGAGACAGAGGGCTGCATGAGATGACCCCGGAGCACAGAATCCAGTCATCTGGTCAGGACTTTAAAAGTTAGGCCAACAAGGGTTGGGGCATGCCTCCCTGTGATGACCCTTTGCTTCTTCTGTTCCCGCTGCCAGGGATGCCCTTCCCAGCTCAGATGTCACTGCCCCTAAGAAGACAGATGCCTGGTGGTCCTAGAGCCCATCTCAGTAGATAGCAACTACATTCTTTCCATTGATCAAGCCAGAACCCTTGGAGTCACCCACTTTCCCCCTCTTTTCTCCTACCCAACAGCCAAGCCATCCTTAAGCCCTGGCAGCTCAACCTCAGAATATATCCCACATCTACCCTGTCTCATGGTTTCCTCTCCGACCACCCAATCTGAGCACCAGCAGTTCACACTGGATTATTACAGTAGCCCCAAAACTGGCCTTTCTGCTTCCACTTATGTGCATTTCTGTTCTCCACTCTGATTGATCTAAAATATAAATCCACATACACACCCACCCAAAACCCTCCAATGGTAGACAGATTGATAGAACAAAAAAAGAGCCCAGAAATAGACCCACATATAGTCAGTTGATTTTTGATAAAGGTCCCTAGGCTGTTCGATGGGAAAAGAGAATGCTTCTTAATACATGGCCCCAGAACTATGGATACACTTAAGGAGGAAATGAACCTGACCTCTACCACACACACACACACACACACACACACACACACACACACAAGAATTAACCTGAGATGAATCACAGACCTCAGTGTAAAACCCAGCATCATAAAACTTCTAGGGGAAAACACAGGAATATATCTTTGTGACACTGAGGTAGGCAAGGATTTCTTAAAGAGTCACAAAAAGTACTAAATGCAAATTTGAAAATTGGTGAATTGGACTTAATCAAAATCCAAATCTCCTGCTCCTAAGAAGATGCCTTTAAGAAAGTGAAATGTGGCGAAATGGAAAAGCAAACTACAAACTGAGAGAAAATACTCTCAGTACAGATATATGATGAGGGATTTGTATCCAAAATATATAAGGAACTACTGCAGATCAATAATGATAACTCAGATTTTAAAGAGAGGATATACAAGTGGCCAATCAGCATATAAAGGATATACATCCTTGGGGAAATGAAGACTCAAACCTCAGTGAGATACCATTTCGCAACCACTAAAATGCCTAACATGGGAAAGACGACACCACCAAATGTTGGCAAGGTCGTAGAACAATAAGAACCCCCATACAGGGCTGGGAGTATAAAACAGTGCTACTGCTTTGGAAAACTAGTAGTTTCTTACAAAGATAAAAATACCCCTCCCTACTCTATGACCCAGCAATTTCACTCCTAAGTATCTACCCAAGAGAAATGAAAACATACGTCCACAAAGACCTGAATGCCCACAGCATCTTTACGCATAACAACAACAAAAACAACTGTAAAAAACCCAAATGTCCGTAACTAGGAAAATGGATGAACGAAGCTGTGATATATTCACATAATGAACCACTTCTCACCAACACAGTTGAATGAACTCCTAATACACCAACAACATGGACGAAGCTCAGAGACGTTGTGCTGAGTGAGAGTAGCCAGGCAGAAGAGTACAAACTGCACGATTCCATTTATGTGAACTCCTAGAGCATGGAGCACACCCCTGAGGATAGAAAGTGGAACAGTGTTTACCTATGGAGGGTGGAAATTGACTGGAAGGAGGCATCAGGGGACCTTTGGAGGGATGGGAATGTTCTCGGATTTGGCTGGGATAGTGGTGACACAGATGTTCACATTTATGAAGATTTGTCAAATTGTGTTCTTAAGAACAGTGCATTTCCCTTATGTGAGTTTCCTCACAATTTAAAAATATATGAAAGTCAGAACAAAACAAAATAATCCTCTGGACCGCCATCACATCTAAAATTACATTCCCACGGTGCTCATCTTTCACACTCGTCTCTGTTACATCTGCTCCAGCCACAGGGTTCTCCTTACTCTTCCTTGAATATGCCCAGCTCAGACGCACCTCTGTGACTTGGCACTGTCCTTCCTTTCCGCCTAGATTAATCCTACCCCAGGTATCCTCAATCCCTCCTTCATCAGATCTCTGCTCAAATCTTCTACTCAGAGGTTCCTTCCCTGAACACCCTATTTCAGCCTCCTCCTCCTGGCCCCATCAATTCCTTACTTTGCTTTGCTTTCTGGCATTGCGTTTATCTCCACGTGCAAGTATATGATACACTTTCTTATTGCCTGGATCTTCCGCTAGAATTTAAGTTGCACGTGGGCAGGGTCTTTCCCTGCCTTGTTCACATGGTACAGGGCTCAGCACAGTCTGTAACATATGACTTAATAAACACTTCCCTAATAATCAATTACTTAATACTTTTCTGGGTTGTTGTGAAGATTAAACAAGGCGTGCATACGAAGTGCTTAGCATAGTGACAGAGTAAGTACTCAGTAAATATAAGCTACTGTTGTTACTCATTATTGTATCCCCAACGTTGCCCTGCATAGTGATCGACACAGACCAGGCATAAAGAACTAGATGGTTCGAGTAGATGAGTGAATGGGTGTGAGTGGATTAGTAGGTTTATGGGTAGGTATATGGATGGAAAATGGAGGGATGGATGTTATGGTGGAGGGACGAATAATATGATGGAATGATAGATGAATGGATAGAACAAATGCTTGGATGGAGGGATGAATAATATGATAGAGCGATGGATGGATGGATAGAATGAATGCTTGGTTGGATTAACGAATGGACGCATGTATGCGTGGATGGATGAATAAGTGGGTGGATGAGCAGGTGAGTGGTTGTCTTAGTGAACACCTAGAATTCCTGTGGTGGGGCGCCTAGAGGAGCTTTCCGTGAGATTTCACAAGGCTCTCCTTGCAGCAAAATGCTAAGGAGAGTAAAGAGAGCAGTTATATAATCAGGATTTTTTGTATGCCCCTGAACAGACGCGCACCACTTCACATTTCACATTTCCATCTCATATCTCTCCCCCATTGTCATTTTCAGAGCAACTCCTCAAATAGTAGGATAGCAGTCTATTCTGCCCATTTACAGGTGAGAAAATTGAGGCCCAACAAGTTGAATTGATTCATCCAAGTCACGTAACTGGAGAGTAGAAGACAGGCCTCAATCCTGGGTCTCCTGACTCCCACTCTTTCCATATGTCCAGGGGTTGAGGGGAGGGAAGTCCCAGGGGCTGAGAACCTTCTTCAGGTACCTTCAGTGATGTGTTCTAGGGGCAGGAGAGAGGGGCCAGGACTTGACCACCGGGAGCTGCTAGTGGGTGTCAGCATGTGGTGGAAGCGTGCGGGTGACAGCAGCTGGCCCGGCTTCCAGAAGCATCTTGATGCAGCAGTGAGGGCAGGAGTCAGAGGGGCCACCTGCCACCAGGGCTCTTGCCAGTTGACAGCTGCCAGGATCGAGCTTGGAAGAGTGAGGGCAAAGCAGACCCCTTGCCTACCCACCCTCTGCCTCTCGGGGTCAGCTCCACACAGGAGCCTCTGGACCTGGCAGCTCAGGGCAGCGGGGGAGGGGTCTGGCTGCCCACGTGGAAGAAGGCATCCAGCTTTCCCCCTCCTCCACCCCTGGGTTCCAAGCTTCGCTCTAAAGACCTGTGCAACTTCAGGTCCCGCCCCTGCCACTTCCTTGCTGTGTGACCTCGGGCAAGCCACTGCCCTCCTGGGAGCCAGTTTTACGGCCTGCAAAATGGGTTTCATGGCAACCTGCCTCATAAACACCAAGATGGGTGAGACGGTCCTAGAATGAGGTCTAGCACATGTCAGGCACCTGATAAATGTGAGTTCCCTCCCCTTGGGGCCAGGAGGCCCAGGCGCGGCCCGAAGGGGGTGGACGGGGTCTTTAGGAACCGAGGCAGTTAGGAATCTGACCCAGGAGAGGAAGTTGTCCGCCCTGGTTCTCCTGCTCACGCTTCTCCGGGACAGGGATGCCCTTCCACGCCCCCTGCTGGCTGCAGCAGGACAGTGCCATCCCAGCAGGACGAGAAGAGGAGACAGAATGACGCAGGGCCAGGCCAGCCTATGCAGCGCTTCTCACCTGCAAAGGGACCTTGACAGCACTTGAATGTTCATTAAAAAGACGAGAAAGTTACTTGACTTCCCCAAGCCTTCATTGCCTTATGGGGACAATCTCGAGAGTTTGGAAGTGTAAATGAGGTCGTGCCTAAAGCACGTCACAGAGCGCAAGGCACTTAGGATGCTCTGGACAAATGTTAGCCCTTAAACCCACCATCTCCCGATATTCCTAACAGCCCAGTGTGGTGGGTGGGCAAGGGTTGCCTTGGCTGTTCCCACCCTGTGTTTGGGGAAAGCCAGGGGAAGTGACTGGTCCAGGGGCACACAGACTAGACACCTTTCTTACGTGGGTGGACGCAGCCCCGGAAGCTACCTGCACCTTCCCGCCATTCCCTCCCATCTCACAGGCCTGGCTTTCCCTGCTGATGCCTCCCCCCGCCCCACACGGCCCTTCAGGTGTCTTGCTCGTGGTTTAATTAATAGTCCTTTGGTTTCATGAATGAAATTGGTTGGCAGTGCCTAGGAAATCACCCACATCTGCCAGTTGCTCTGATTTCTGCTCTGACAGCTCTGAGTGGGAAGGAGAGGCTCGGGTAGCAGGTGGGGCAGATGAGGAGAACCCAGGCCAGCCCCAGGGCCTGGGGACAAAGCTTTTCTCCTGCTGCCACCCCTGGAAGATGTCCAAGGAGAGTGGCACAGAGCATGGCACTCTGATCAAAACCCTATCGCTTCCCCCTGGCCCAGGAAGCTCCGTGGGGTCTGGCCCAGTGCCCACCCCCATCACCCCTGACCTTCCACCTCAGCGCCATGTCCTGGCTGTTCCCTCCACCTGGAACCCTTTTCAGGAGCTTCATCTCAGCTGAAATGTCAGCTCGTTGGAAGAGACACTCAGACCATCACTCCCCACTTGTCCGATTCTCCACACAATGCCATGGCTCTCCAGTAGTTTCTTATTCACGTACTTATTTGTGTGTCAAATGTCTCCCCAACTAAAGTGTAAGCTCTGTGTCGGCAGGCACGTGTCTCCATGACCACTGCGTCCCCAGCCCTGCCCCAAAGCCTGCCACACAGTTGGCTCAATGATTACTTGTTAAATGAATGAATGAGTGATGAATGGATCTGGCAGAAAGAAGCCTGGCGCAAAAGTCATGGGACAAGAGAAACTGGCTCTGTGGGTGACCTTGGATAAGCCTCTTCGTTACCCCTGGGCCTGTTTCCCAATCTGAAACCTGAGAGATTGGACTCAGTGATCCCAGTGGCTCTTCCATCCCCGATATGCTCTGGTTCATAGGAGGGCAGCACCCTTGGGCATCTTGTCTCCCAAGTTCAGAGAAGTTAAGGGGCTTGAAAGAAGTGTTACAAGCAGGTGGGGAAGAGAGGCCGGAAGGGCACAGGCCAGGCCCAAGGAGGGAGATGGTTCCCCCCATTTTGCCACCTTCCACTCACCTCCAACCCAGAGATTCCAGGAAAACCCCACGGGGCATATTAACCTGGTAGAAGGCTCTCTGGAGCAAGGGTAATGAGACCAGAAATTTCATCCCAGTTCTTCTTCACTGTGTGAACTTTGGCAAGTTACTTCCCCTCTCTGAGCCTCAGTTAACTCAGCTATACAATGGGGATTATAATGGCAGGCGCGCACCTCACAAGGGTTTAGTGTAGGTAGGAGTGTGGGTGTTTTGAGCAGTGCTGGGCGCCGGAGCAGGTTTCTCCCTGTTATAGCAGCTGAGTCGTCTCCCAGGTGGCACCTCCCTTGGGTGTCCCTGACTCCACTGTGCCCTGGGCTTCTCCGATCTGACCCCTTGTTACACCGGTTTGTGCTTGTCTTTTGACCCCGCTGAGAGTGAACCCCACAAGGACAGGGAGTGTGCTCTGTACACCATTAAATCCCCAGGTCCCAGCCAGGGCTCGGGAAACGTGTATGAATGAATGCAGGCATGAATGAATGATCTGGATGGGGACTTTCTCTTCCGTTCCGCCAGCACCTCTTTTCTTTGCTTAGTCTCCTCTCCCCGCACACACACACACCTCTCTGACCTGGCCTTCCTCTCCCTGTAGTTGCCCCCAAAGGACCCCAAATCATGATGACGCCCAGCAGAGCCCGGGTCGGGGACACAGTGAGGATTCTGGTCCATGGATTTCAGGTCAGCCTCTCTCTGAGCATCTGCAAGGGTGGCGGGAGGTCATCAGGCACCAACGGGACACGAGCATCCCTGGCAGCATGCTCTGAGACCCTCCCCTTGACCTCCAGCACGGCCAGCTGGTCTCGGTCTCCTAATCTGTGTAATGGCAGAATTGGCTTCCACGAGGAATGGCATGGGGTGCACGCATGGATTTGCTCGCCCACCTACAACTTAGAGCAGACATGGCACATGGATCTTGGCATTCCTTCCAGCCCTAGAGTCCTTTCCTTCCTGGGGTCTGGGCAGCCAGTCCCAACCCATCCGATGAAAATGTGTTAATACCCACCCTGGCCAGGCCATGCCTCTGGCCCCTTCCTGCTCCGGCAGAATGGTTCCTCCTGTGACCCGACTCTCTCCTGCTCTGGCCAACAGAACGAAGTCTTCCCAGAGCCCATGTTCACATGGACGCGGGTCGGGAGCCGCCTCCTGGATGGCAGCACTGAGTTTGACGGGAAGGAGCTGGTGCTGGAGCGGGTTCCCGCTGAGCTCAACGGCTCCATGTACCGCTGCACGGCCCAGAACCCTCTGGGCTCCACCGACACACACACCCGGCTCATCGTGTTTGGTACGTTGTGCCCAACTAGAGGATCGGGAGGGCTACCCGGGGAGGCCCCTGGTTGGAGCTTTCCCAAGGAGGAGGGAGCAGTAGGGGCCCAAGTCCCATAAATTTGCCCTGAGAGGGTGCCCCACAGGGAAGCACTACAGTTCAGTGGTTAAAACCATAACAGCTTTGGAGCTAGAGAACCCTGGGTTCAAATCCCAGACCCACCACTTAGCAGCTGGGCAACGCTGGGCAAACTGTTTCCCCTCCCTCAGTTTTTCCATCTGTAGAATGGGGCTGATACTGCCCAGCCCTCAGAGGGTGCACATGACACCACACAGCGGGTGCTGGATGAGGGGCTTCCTTCGCCAAGTTCCAAATGCCATCCACGCTCCAGTTCTCTTTCTGTTCTTCCCAACAGAAAACCCAAATATCCCAAAAGGAACGGAGGACTCCAATGGTAAGTCTCCACTCTCAGAGCTTCTAGCTTAAAAGCTCTGGTCCCCCAAACGGCCCCTTTGTATGACCTTGCCCCTCCCTCATGCCGTAGGCACATAATTGACCTCTAGTCGGGCAGAGTCTGGGTCAAAGGTCAGGAGTGGGCACTAAAGCAATTAAGCATCCCTAAGCAGCTGGCAGGGAGTTCGAGGGACAAAGTCTCTCTCAGAGAGCTCGGCTGCCATGGTCCCAAGAAGATGTGTCTAGCGCTGACCGTGGGGTTGTGATCCAGGGCCCTTGACCACTTCATAGGATGGTGGGGCCCTTTATATTGCCCTCCCTCAGCTGCCCTCGAGCTGAGCACCACCCCATGGGACACAGACACTCCCCCCAGGCCTGCCAGCCCTCCCTTTCCCACAGTGAGCCAATCTCACAGTTCATGATGGAGGCCCCCACGCCTAGTCCCCACTGCAGTGTCCTGATGGCCACCGGGGAGCCTGACCTCCACGCAGCAGGCCTGGGACAGGGAAGAGGTCACACACAATCAGGTGGGACAGATAGCAGAGCTAGGACTTGAACCCAGCCCATCCTAACACTGAAGTCCAGACTCTTGGCCGGGGCCCTTCAAAGCTCTGTGGTCCCCAGGCTCCACACACACCTGTGCCCCCCAGAAAGCAAAGTGGGTGGGTCACAGGCCCTGACGCTGCTCCCTGCACAGGTTCCACGTCTGGCCCTGCTGGCATCCGGCTCACCTTGGTGCTCGCCCTGACAGTGGTCCTGGAGCTGACGTGAAGGCTCAGCCCTGCTCCCTCCATTACATCTGGCACTGACATCTCTGCAATTGGTTTTCATTTCTTTTCTAAACTACTTCCAGTCTTGTTCTTAGTCTCTTTCTGTCCATGTCTTGGCTTCTTTGGTCAGTTTAATTAAAACAGAACATTTTTCCCCACCTCGGTCTGTGGCTCTGTATTCTTCCTGGTCTATAGCAGCAACTGGGCACCTCCGGACATGCAACCTCGGGACGGGCACTGAGGGGGATGCTGAAGGACATGGAGGGCATGCTCTTCCCTGGAGGAGGGGTGGAGGGGCATCTCCTTGTTTCACACAAATCCAGTTGTGGGAAATGGCCAGAGACTCTACTCAGGAAATTCAAGTTCCCTCAGGGCCAAGTGTAATAGTCAGCTCTTGCCACAATAATGCTGCATAACAAAGGGACCCAAATCGCTGTGGCAGGCAACAACAAGCATTTATGATTGTGTTTACGTTTAGGACAAAGTGGTTCAGCTGATATAGTCTGGACTCACTTGGGCAGCTCTGCTTCAGGCAACAGGCTATCTGGGCTGAATTCCAGCAGATGGGTTGGGCACAGGTCTCATCCATGGTTGTTTTCTCTGGGGCCTAGGCTAAAGGGGCTGTGGCTGTCTGAGAGTTGATCCTCTTATGGTAGATCATCCTAGCTAAAGAAAAGAAATTCAAACCATGGAAGCGCAGTTAAGGCATCGGCCTATCATGTCCTTGAACACTCCTTTAGCCAAAGCAAGTCACATGGCCAAGGCTAACGTCAATCAAGGTCACATATAAGTCAATGGTAGAGGTTCCAGAATTTCCTGTTCAACTACTAGAAGATTCCCCATGCCATTCAGCTATTGGAGGGAAGGGCTGAGAATGTCTGGAGATGGGTGGGGTTGGCGTCTCTGAGCTGTGGCCAAAACCTGAGGGTCACCAAGGAGAGCCCTGGAAGACTGTGTTGATCTGGATAGGAGAAGCTAGGCTGCAGTAACACATTAACCCCAGAGTTTTACGGGATTAACACAGTACTTATTTGGGGCTCATGAAAAGCCCAAGGCAGGTTGGGTAATCCTCTTCTATCCTGCAGCTAAACCAGCTGGAATATGTGGCCTCTACGATCTGCAGGGCAGGGAAAGAGAGGGCTGCAGGATCAGAATGACGGGCAGAATAACAGCTCCCCCACCAAAGATGCTCACATTCTAATCCCAAGAACCTGTGAATCTGCTCCCTTACCTGGCAAAAGGGATTTTGGCTGATGTGATTAATTGAAGGCTCTTGAGATGGGAAGATTGTCCTTGGGTTGTCCAGGTGGGCCTAATGTAATCACAAGGGTCCTTAAAAGAGGGAGGCAAGAAAGCAGTAGAAGAAGATGTGATGACAGAAGCAAGAGATTGTCATGATGCAGGGAACGGGCCTTGAGCCAAAGAATCCAGGCAGCCTCAAAGCTGAAAAATGCAAAGAACCAGGTTCAACCCCAGAGGCTCCAGAAGGAACCAGCCCTCCCAACACTTTCAGCTCTACAAGGCTTATTGCAGACTTCTGACTTCCAGGGCTCTCTTAAGAGAATACATTTTCCTCGTTTTAAGCCACTCGATCGGTGGTAATTTGTTACAGCAGCGGTAGGAAACTCACATAATCACACAGGATGACTTTAAGGGTCAGGCCTCGTAGTGGCACAGACCACGTCTGTCGCACCCCATTGACCTCGGGGAACTTGCCCTCCTGTCACTTCCGCTGCACTGTATTGGCCAACACAAGCTATGAGGCCAGCCCAGATTCAAGGGGTGGAGAAGGCTATTCCACTTCTAGATGAGAAGAACTACGAAGCCATGTTGCATAATGCGCAGATACAGGTCAGGAGGCGGATTAGGGCCGTGTTTACAATCTACGACAGCCCCACATTCTGAGCTTGACGTTCCGGAATCGTGGTTTCCCATCCACCATGACTTACTCTCACTTCAGCTGGGAAACCCAGACGCCCCTCACTGCAATTTCTCTTTCAAAAATGTAACAACTAAACGATCCATTTATTTGATACATATTTGCCTGCCTGCATCTTGCAGGCAACAGTAAAGAAGATGATTTTCAAGTGTTGAAAGGTCTCTCATATCGATTAATATAAACATCCAGGCCAGGTCAGCAGCAGCAACTACATTGCACCGCCCGTCTCCTCGGCCAACTTCCTTCTTCCCCAAAACCCTGCTCTGTCTCACATGAGCTAGCGGCTCCCCCTACTGTTACCTGCCAGCAATCCTACCTAAGCCAATGTTACACAATGCCTCTGCCTGTTTTCTGGAAGGAATAAAAAAAGATTTATTCCTTCTTTTTGTCTTAATAGAGGGAAGCCCATGTAGGCATGAAATTGGAATTGCTTTCCCTTATTAACAGTGTGGTCTTTGGGCTCAACTGACCCCTGAAGTGCGTTAATATCTCAGCAGCAAGTGGATGAACCACAGAAAGTGGCAGGGGACATGCCCAGAGAGAGCCAGCTGGGAGGCTTGAGGTCCACAGCGGGTAGGGCGGTCGTCTGCTTTGGGGTCTGAGTTTGAGGATGTTGAGCCCTGAGCAGGCTGAAAAGGATGGTTTATTCAACCTAGGACTGCAGGGATGGAAGGAGGGATGGGTGACACCGAGCCCAGCCTGACAGGGAGACGGATCCTTCGTCTATTTGTCCACCTGCTTAGTCACTCATTTCACAGACTCTGAGCATCCCCCTGTTGTGGCTCTACGCCAGGCAGGGGAAACACCAAGACAAGTTGGGCAGATCCTACTGTAAAGAGCACCTGATCCATCCAGAATGACAGAGTCGAGGATAAGAACAACTGAAATGCCATGTAGTAAGTATTGGAACAAAAACGTGAAAGAATACAACAGGGTCTCAGAAGGGGTGAAAGATTGTCCTGACTGGACAGGTCAGGGGAGGCTTCCAGGAGGTGGTGACTTCACAGCCAGGTCTTGAAGGAGAGGAAGGGGCATCAAAGTCTGTTCTGCCACCTTCACCATTTGGCTCCAGGTCAGTCAGTCCAGCTGCCGGTCCGTGCAGAGACCCATGCTAGGCCTCAACGGGGCCACCTCCATCCCCCTCCTGGTCAGCCGAGCCCTTGTTGTTGGGCTCATCAAGGAGAACTTGGCAGTCCCATGTGCGGCGGCCCCAAGACAGGACCACCCTTCCCTGGCCTGGGCTCTCGAGCTGTGAACACTTGGTCACAGGAAGTGGGGGAGGCACGTGACGATCTCTCAGTGCTGCCGCTTCCAGGGCAGGGGTTCAGCATCAGCTGTGCCCGTTCCCTCCGCCTGTGCACCTGCGAGAGAAGCGAGGTCTGGGGTCACCGTCTTCTCAGCCTTGGGGTACTGTGCCTCGGGGCCCCACACACACCCCCAAGAGGAGTCACATGACCCCTCTACCCCAACCCACCTCATGGGACTGGAGACGTCCAGCCCTCCTGCTTCTAGCCTGGCTGGGCTCTTGGCTGGGCAGGAGCAGATCTGGGGACCTGCCTACCGTGCAGGCTTCTGTGATGCCAGCAGCCGTCTCCACCAGGGGCCACAGCCACCTTGTCTGAGGGGAGACATGGAATCGTCAACCATGGCTCCTACACGAGGACCCAGGTTTTCAGAGTAGCCATCCTGACCCCAGAAAGGCTATATGTTTTATGAAGTGCACACACATACACAGAGCAGAGAAAACAAAACCAAAAACAAGGGTCTCTGGGCTCTGCCCCTGCAGGGAAGCTGACAGCCCCACATGACGCCCAGACCTGGATGCGCACTTTTACATTTCCAGGATGGGGGCAGGGATGGGAAGGCCAGTGTCTTCGGGGCTGACTCCCCCAGGAGCCCTGGCTGCTGATGAAAATGAAAGGGAGAGGGCTGTGGTTCTGAGTGATGAGACGGTGGGTCGGGGGTCGAGTGGGGAGGGAGATCTGGAAAGAGAAGAGAGGGAAACCGAGGATGGGGTTGGCTTGGAGAAGGGGTCAGGGAAAGGAAGGAGAGAGGGAACAGGGACAACCATCCGAGGAGAGCTGTCTGGGGTGCTGGAGGTCAGGCTCACATTGGGATCAGACATCCTGGAGAGACAGGAGTCTCCTTGGAGGCATTTGGAGATGAGGGATGGAGGGGACAGAGCAGGGGGTCCCTGGAGGAAGGAATTCTGGAAGAGAACTCTCCAATCCAATTGGGCTTCTGTGAAACCTTCGAAAGAGACCAAGATCTGGACTGAATGAGATGAAGAGAAAGGTTGAAAAAGTGGGGAGTGGATAGAAATGAGACAAGAGATAGAGGAGAGACAGAGACACAGAGTCAGAGAGACAGACACACAGAAAAAAGCAGAAAAAAGAGAGACACACACACAGAGACACAGAGAGACAAAGAGAGAGAAACAGAGAGTGTGATAAAGACAGAGAAACAGACAGAGGCAGAGAAATAGAGATAGAGAGACTAGCCCTGCAGCCCAGCCTGGAGCTGGGGAGTTTTCCAAAAAGCGCTTAAGCTGTTATGTCAGGTATTATGCCCTTGGTTCCTCTAGGGAAGACAGCCCTGAGTGATGGGTGGAAGGAAATAGATGTGCAAAATACATGCATTTTTTTCCAAACGGGCCCAGTCATCAGCGACAGGCCTAAATGTCAGCACTCAGAGCGGAGCCCTGGGCTGCCGGCTGCATCTGACCTTGGGGCTGACCTTCTCAGGAGGCTCGCCTCTCCTCTGCTCCTTCTCCTCCCCCTCTCCTACTGCTCCAGGCAGCTGTGGTCCCCACCCCAGGCTCCCATTCCCTCCCACCCCTTCCTCCATCGATCCTGGAGATCCCAGGGCCACAGACAAAAAGCATTTTGGAGGAGCCCTTCCCTAAACCGGTACCCCTACCCCCGCCTTCTCAAACTCCACCCCCCAGAGACCTTCCTTCCCCCACCACAGGGACAGTCCTTCCCCAGTGACAGCCATAGTTTTGAAAGGCTTTGGGGTTGAAAGTGTTTGAGGGCTCAGATTGCAGCTTTACCACATTCCCACTGTGGGATCTTGGGCAAGTGGCTTAACCCATCTCAACTCAGTTTTTCCAACTATAAAATGGGGATAATTACACAACTTACAGGACGTGTGTAACAAATTAAATAGCAATGTTCCCATATGCAAGAATTTGCATAAATATCAACATTCCTATATTTA